GAAGCGGGTGAGGACGATCTAGCATTTTGATAAATTCGAGTAATCATCGTTTTGAGTAATCGAAATCTCGATTACTCGAGTAATTGATCAACCGAACAGATAATTAACCAACTTGCTCGAAAAATCGCCCAGCCCAAAGTTCACGCTGAACGAAGCGAAGCGGAGCTTTTCTCATGAACTCGGCTGCAAAGGTACCGCAAAACATTGACTTACCATCAATGAAAACCGGCAAAAATATTTGCTCAATTTTGTTCCAAAGACTAGTTATAAAGTTCGTTTTTATTTATATCTGAAAAATTAAACAGAAAGTTCAAAATAAAAAACTGCTTTGCTTTCAGCTCCAAAACGTCCATGAAAAAGCTTGCTGTATGAACACGTTGATATAGCTACAGCAATTTGAAATCTTCACTCAGCTCGGAACGGCTTCGAAGCTCCGCTTTCTGTGTGAACGTACCTTAACGCCATACTGGCTTTCCAAACGGCCTGAAAATATTGAATTTAACTCTAGTAATAACAAGTTGGCCTGGGTCCACTGTACCCCTTATGACCATTACGCGTCAGAAAGCAAATTTACAATTATTGATCATTGAATTAAATGATTGATTAAATTTATTATATTCATTTATAAGCATTTGTTACATATTTTTCAAAAAAATCTTAGTGAAAGATTGTCTTACTTTTATTATTAGTACCCCTTGCGGTACTTCTCCCCAACCGTATACTCGGTCATACCTTTTCCTGAAACTCCACAAGTGCCGATACCAACACGCCCTGTAACAGTATCAGGAGATGCAAATATGCTCTTTGTTTTCATTCCAGGCTTCCTGAAGTTCTTATTTGTGAAACTAAGCCATTTCTTTTTATCAGACTCACGCTCCTCTTCTAATTCCTTGAATCGTTGAATTTTTTTCTGTTTTCTTTTCTTCAAATATTCCTTTTGGTTAGGGTGGTGGCGTCTAAAACATATTGCGGAATGAAATTACACAAAATTAATGGAATTAAAATGTTATTAATTTAAGCAATGATAAAGCATAAAGTTAGACTAAATCTAGGTGGACAAAAGTCGGAAAATCGAATTTTTTAAATTATTTTTGTTTTGTTTTTTTTGTTGTTATGTTTAATTATATCTCTTATCTTAAATATAACAAAATTGTAACAGGTCGATGTCTGTACATTATAGGAATTAAAGAAAAATTAATGTGGTGGGTCTTTATTAGAGCACCAGAAGCCAAATCAACCATTTTTAGAATTTTTGTCTGTCTGCCTGTCTGTATGTTTGCACGCGCACTACTCGAAAACGAATGCATTGAATTGAATGCAGTTTCCACCGATGTGTTGCTAGAGGTCTAACTTAATATATAGAAAGAAAAAAATTGGACCACCTGTTTGAAAATTGTAGTAAAAGTAAAAAGATAAAAGTGAATATTGCAATACGGGCGTCAAAAGANTTATTTGAATCGAGCACTTGATTGCGTGAATTACTCACTAAACCGACAATGTTTTTTCAATTGTTGTTTGGAAATAAATGAGTGCGAGTGTGTGCAGATGTGAAAAGAAAGCGAGTGACTTAAAATGTAATTTGAGTGTATCCATGCAGCTCTCTGGTATTTATACTATTATTTAATTTATTGGAGATATTTTAATATAAATAAAAAGACATGATGTGCCAAAAACCTATTATTGCTTTTCATTCCATAGCACCCCAGCTATACAACTATTCTACCCGCGGGAAAAAGCTAGTTTTACATAAAAAAAAGGGTTTATGCAGTACGCTGACGTACATTTAAATAATTTCGAATCCGCAAAATCTGCTTTTAAATCATGTGCAATATTTTTTTCTAGCCGTGGAAATTATGAAATATTCGTTTTTTGAGATCATGAATAAAGAGACGTTGTTTATCTTCAAAACTTAAAATAATTTGCGACAAATCAAAAACATTTTTATTCTCTCCTTGTAGAGCCAAATTCAAGTTTTGCAAATGTTCCTTCAAATCGCTAAAGAACATTAAGTCAGAGAAAGCCAATTTTCATTCTCCAATTGCGGGTAATGTTCCGATCTCAATTTGCGTATGTGTGTATAAAAAGAATAAAAAACAACACAATGGAAAAGAATGTCCAGGAAAGAAGTATGTATTTTAAAAAGTAACAAGTAAGAGCAGCGCTGTCTTCGGCTATGCCGAAGGCTTCATACCTTTCATAAACATCTGCAAATTTTACATTGACAGATTACTGCTTTTGAATACATCTANTAGCTGTTCATGTGTTTTTGAGTTACTTATATGTAAAATTAATAAAAGCAACTAAATACATGTTTTGAAATGGTTAAGAAATGTTTAGTACATGTTTTTGGCAAATATCTATGGGAAGAATGTTTGATTCTATTATATTGTCCATAACTGTATGTTATAGTCACCCGATCCTTGTTATTTTCACTGTAAGTATTCAGTTAATAATGAGTGAAAATTGTGCGAAATTTCATGTTCCTAGCTGCATTAATGGAGGAGTTATGATAAAAGACCTCATATCTGAACAATCAGTTGTATGGGGGCTGCAGGTTATAGTGACCCGATCTTTATTATTTTCACTGTAAGTATTCTGTTGATGAGTGAAAACAGCGCGAAATTTCATGGTCCTAGCTACATAAATGGAGGAGTTATAACGAAAAATCTCATATCTGAACAATCAGTAGTATTATCNACAAGGAGGAACTTTGGCAAAAAATCCAGGAAGCTTGGTATTCCATACCAAAGTCGATCTGTGAGGCCCTAGTAGAATCTATGCCGAGAAGATGCAGTGCTGTACTTGCAAATAACGGGTTTGCTACCAAGTTTTAATACTGGATCATTTTTTGAATGGAGTTTTTTTTTGCAATTTTTGAGTTTTATTTCTATGATTCTATTTTATTGACAATTGAATTCCATGACTTTACTTTAAAAGATTTTAATGACATTATTGCAATAGCTGTTCATGTGTTTTTGAGTTACTTATATGTAAAATTAATAAAAGCAACTAAATACATGTTTTGAAATGGTTAAGAAATGTTTAGTACATGTTTTTGGCAAATATCTATGGGAAGAATGTTTGATTCTATTATATTGTCCATAACTGTATGTTATAGTCACCCGATCCTTGTTATTTTCACTGTAAGTATTCAGTTAATAATGAGTGAAAATTGTGCGAAATTTCATGTTCCTAGCTGCATTAATGGAGGAGTTATGATAAAAGACCTCATATCTGAACAATCAGTTGTATGGGGGCTGCAGGTTATAGTGACCCGATCTTTATTATTTTCACTGTAAGTATTCTGTTGATGAGTGAAAACAGCGCGAAATTTCATGGTCCTAGCTACATAAATGGAGGAGTTATAACGAAAAATCTCATATCTGAACAATCAGTAGTATTATCAGCTATAGGTTATAGTTACCCCATCTTTTTAATTTTCACTGTAAGTTTTCTGTTTATAATTATTGAAAATTGATAATTATCGAAAACTGAGAGACTAGATTGCATACAAACAGACGGACAGACAAACAGACGGACAGACGGACATGGCTAAATCGACTCAGCTCGACGTTCTGATCATATAAGTATACATTTTAATGGGTGTATCTCTTTTTATTCTGGTACTTACAAACATCGGACCAAAGTTATTACACCATTTCATGCTCATGAAAGGTATAAAAAGAGCCAAAATGTTCTAAGCAAAGATAAAGTAAAAAGAGCCACACTGTGCTACTCAAAGAGCCGCGTTTGCCCACCGTTGCCATATGCCTTTGTGAGTTTTTATTTTGAGAGCGGTTAACCGGCGACCGCTTCACCATCGTCCGCTGCAATTCTGGGTAGAACTTTAAAATGGGAATACAAATTGTATAGAGAATTATACACCGATTTCTAAGCTCACTGCTGTCTCAAAACTGTGTCGAGTCCATAATTAAGACAAAATATATTCTGCTGTTAAATATTTATTATATCCTAGACAACATGGGTTCGTTCCGGGTAGATCTACGGTAACCAATTTAGCTGCTTTTACAGATGACTGTTTGAAACCATTCAAAAGGGATTCCAAATTGACGCATATACACCGATTTTTCTAACTCCTTTGACAGGGTGTCTCATCGAATGTTGATAGCTAAACTTGAAGGTCTAGGCTTTCATTCTGAGTTTCTGGAGTGGATCACATCCTATCTGGATAATAGACGCTGTGTCGTTTGTTTTGATAATCTATCGTCTTATTCCTTTGTTTCCTCCTCTGGTGTTTCCCAGGGTAGTGTCTTAGGCCCCGTTATTATTTGCCCTTTTTATTAACGATATTTCCTCCTGTTTTTTTAGGTGTAATTTCCTTCTATATGCGGCTGACCTGAAGATATATTATGAAACCAAAAGTCTAGAGGACTCATTCATTCTCCAGGGTGAGCTTGATAATTTGTATAGTTAGTGTTCGCGTAGTCGTTTGTTCCTCAATATGGCTAGTATTGTTCTTACGTCTTACTCTTTTTCAAATGTCCCGCTAAAATCAATTACTGTTTATTTTGACTCCAAGCTCAACATCACTACTCACTTAAACTTTATTGTTTCCAAATCGTTCGCGATGTTGGCCTTTATTCGTCGTAATTGCTCTTCATTTTCCGATCCTTATACTCTCAAACTGTTGAACGCGTCTTTAGTTCGGTCGAGGTTGGAATACGCTGTATTTGTTTGGAAACCCATTCATGTGAACAGATTGGAGTCTGTTCAGAGGGCTTTTATACGCTTTGCGCTGGATGAAATTTGTAGACCCTATTCCGTCCTATCATTCTCGTTGTTTTTTATTGATAAATCTCATGTCCTTAGAATCCAGGCGTACTCTGCTGTCGACGTGCTCTGTCTTTGATATAATTGCAAGCCCGCACCTCCTTATTAAAATAAACAATATTCGATATTTTTTTTTATATGGAAACATGTACCAAACTTTCAACAAACAAATCTTCCAGAAATTAATGGTAAGTCCTAGCATCCTCAGACGTACACTTTATTGTACTAAAGAATGTGCTAAAAAGCTGCATACTCAACTTTTTTCTAAAGAGTGTAAATAAAAAGTGCAATATTTGAATGAAATTTTGCAGAATTTTCTTTAATTTTGCACGAGGTTTGGAACTCTGATTTTTGGTGTTTTTGTTGTAGAATTAACCATATAAAAAATTTGCGAAAAATAAAATATTTAAAACATAGTTGCCTGTATTGTAAAAAATTCACTGTACCTAAACTTTACTGACTGACTGTATGTACTCCAATTCATTCCCAATATTTTGGTTTTGCCTTTGCTTCAAAGCTACACAGCTCTTCAACGTTTTGTTTTATTGAAACCTGCAAGTTTCTGCTAGTAAAATTTTAATTTTAACAATTTGCAGCTCTGCCATGTTGTCACGCTCTCGTTTTGGCTTTCTCTTGCAAGTTTTTTAGGGATATCGAACGATTTTCCAGTAAAACTTCGCAAGTTCCAGCAAAAGCCAGAAAAAAAAAAAATGAAGTTAAGCAGTTTCCAAAGCTAACTCCTTCAACGAGCGAAAATAAATTTATTTTAGTAATAATCCTTAATCCTTTATATCCTTAACATATATAATATTATAAATCCGAAAGTGAGTTTGTTTGTTTGCTACGCTTTCACGCTTTAACTACTCAACCGATCATCTTGAAATTTTGTACACTGCTGCCATTTAGCCCAACTTAAAATATAGGATACATTTAATATCTATTAGACAAACAGAACTTTTTTACTGCATTTCTCAGGAAAAATTTTTGATAGATTACTGGAACTTGGTATGTAGATATATAAAATCATTACCTACGCATGTATGAGGGCTGCCACCTTTTAAAAAAATTAAATTCAACTTCAATTAAGGGAGTTATTTATTTGAAGATTATATTAAAAAATGGATGTCAAGTGGCTTAAAAAAGTTGTAGTTCGAATATATTTTGAAAAGGTATCTGAATAATTAAAATATAGTTGTCTAACGAAATATTAAGAAACCTTTAGTTTGAAAGTTTTGAATTAGAGTTAAGTCTTTCACAGGAGCTGCCTCCTTTTTATTATATTTTTTTTTATTATTATTTTTTTTTTTTATGTATGTTACCGCATAACTTTGGACCACGTCAACCGATTTCGATAATTTGCATCGGAAAGGTAGTGTCTCAGAGGTGGTCCCATACTAATCTGGTTGAGATCCGATCAGTGGATCATGAGATATATATATATATATATTTTTTTTTTATATGGGAGTTGAAGTCGGTTATTTTTTTGCTAAAAATTACTTGTTAACAATTAAGTTCAATTATTTGAAATCAAATATTACAGTAAAAAACGCGCAATGGTTCTGGCGGTTGATTTATCGGTGGTGATTTGAGATTTACCCTTCCACAACTCAACCCTAGTTNTTACAGTAAAAAACGCGCAATGGTTCTGGCGGTTGATTTATCGGTGGTGATTTGAGATTTACCCTTGCACAACTCAACCCTAGTTTCTCCGAATGAAGCTTTAACGCATAATAATACTGGCAAATCACATCCATTGGGCCAATCGTAACACACAAGAGTTCGATATACTCAGTGGTGCAACTGGTCGATTTGATCTGACATTCACGGCACCTTTTCTATTCGATTATTCGTAATGATTCCACCGCCACCTAGGGCTGCCAGTAATAGAATTGACTTGACCGTTACCAATATATATTTTGAATATTAGCCAAAGTGGATCATAAATAAGATTTTTAGTAATAACTTAACTCCAGCGCCAACTGGCGGGTGAAATTGTTAAACTAAACTTTCCAGAGAGCCGCTCAAAAGCACACAAAAACTTCGTTAAAATCGGTCCGGCCATTTAGGAGGATTTCACTCACAAACACACATACAGAAGATTTATGTTTATATATACGTTAGTACGGTGGCACGAGCTATTTACAAATAGCCCATTTTTCTCCATGAGTATAAGATCGATCTCATATGTCGCCGTACCAAGCTCCGGTATTCGACCATGAACACTTCCAGAGATATGCAGTACGAAAAATCCAGCTTGCATGGGAGGTGCCACGCCCCTTTTTCTAAAAGCCCCAATTTTTCTCAAGAGTATGCGTTTGATTTCACAAATCTCTATACCACGTTCTAGTACTCTATCATGAACATATCCAGAGATATTCAATATGAAAAATTCAGTATGTATGGGAGGTGCCACGCTCCCTTTTCCAATAATCCCAATTTTTCTCCATGAGTATGCGTATGTAGCCCATTTTTCTCCATGAGTATAAGACTGATTTCATATATCGCCGTACCAAGTTCCAGTATTATACCATCAACGTATGGGAGGTGCCACCCCCCTTTATATATCGACATTTTTTTAGCCTGTAACCATCCTTGGGACGTCTGAGGCAGGTGTCCGAAATTTCAAAAAAATCGGTTCTGCCATTCTCGAGCTTTGCGAACACAAAAAACGGCTTTCAAAACATATATTAATAAAGAAGATTAGTATGAAGTGGTTTTGAATATGTATCACAATATGTATCGCATAGGTTGCCTACTTTTTAAAATGCTAAATTCAAATGGTTTATTCAATAATTTAAATGAATTATTACAATATGGGTATCAATCGAAATGGTTTTTAAAGGGCTTCATTTCAAAACTACATGCACGAGGTGTCCATCTGTTTTAGATCTTAAATTGAGTTCAGGGGATAAGTTAATTGAAAAAGTATGACAAGTGAGAAGATTAAGAAATTTTTAGTTTGAAAATATTTTGAAGATTGCTAAACAAATTTTAAACCTCCTGTTTTTTAATTGAGTTTTCTTGAAATAAATTTTACTCAATGTAGCACGTGGAAATTTCATACACTCAACGAAGCGGGTGAGGACGATCTAGCATTTTGATAAATTCGAGTAATCATCGTTTTGAGTAATCGAAATCTCGATTACTCGAGTAATTGATCAACCGAACAGATAATTAACCAACTTGCTCGAAAAATCGCCCAGCCCAAAGTTCACGCTGAACGAAGCGAAGCGGAGCTTTTCTCATGAACTCGGCTGCAAAGGTACCGCAAAACATTGACTTACCATCAATGAAAACCGGCAAAAATATTTGCTCAATTTTGTTCCAAAGACTAGTTATAAAGTTCGTTTTTATTTATATCTGAAAAATTAAACAGAAAGTTCAAAATAAAAAACTGCTTTGCTTTCAGCTCCAAAACGTCCATGAAAAAGCTTGCTGTATGAACACGTTGATATAGCTACAGCAATTTGAAATCTTCACTCAGCTCGGAACGGCTTCGAAGCTCCGCTTTCTGTGTGAACGTACCTTAACGCCATACTGGCTTTCCAAACGGCCTGAAAATATTGAATTTAACTCTAGTAATAACAAGTTGGCCTGGGTCCACTGTACCCCTTATGACCATTACGCGTCAGAAAGCAAATTTACAATTATTGATCATTGAATTAAATGATTGATTAAATTTATTATATTCATTTATAAGCATTTGTTACATATTTTTCAAAAAAATCTTAGTGAAAGATTGTCTTACTTTTATTATTAGTACCCCTTGCGGTACTTCTCCCCAACCGTATACTCGGTCATACCTTTTCCTGAAACTCCACAAGTGCCGATACCAACACGCCCTGTAACAGTATCAGGAGATGCAAATATGCTCTTTGTTTTCATTCCAGGCTTCCTGAAGTTCTTATTTGTGAAACTAAGCCATTTCTTTTTATCAGACTCACGCTCCTCTTCTAATTCCTTGAATCGTTGAATTTTTTTCTGTTTTCTTTTCTTCAAATATTCCTTTTGGTTAGGGTGGTGNATTTAATTTAATTGATAACACAAATTAAAATTTTGAAATATTGGCATCAAACTAAAGAGGCTAGGAAATTTTAATGCCGAAAATATTTTTAGGGGATTTGTCAACTGCTTGAAAAATTGTATTCATTTAAATTTGTAAAATAAATGAAATATTACAATACGGATTTAAACTAAAGAGAATTAGGAAGCTTACTTCTGAAAATATTTTTGAAGTGGGTTGCCACCTCTTTGAAAACTTTAATTCAGTTAAATTGATAAGATAACCTAAACGTTGCCTTATTGGTATCAAACGAAAGTATTTGAAAATAACAAAATTACAACAGGCCGATATCTTTTCATAATAGATGTTAAAGAAAAATTAATAGGAGGTTTATTACAACAGCAGAAGTAAAATCTAAAATTTTTATAATTTTGGTCTGTCCGTCTGTATATTTGTATGCGCATCACGCAAAAACTAATGTATGGAATTAAATGCAGTTCTAAACCACGTACATATTGCTAGAGCTCTAATTGAAAATATAGAATCCTTTTTTTTTGTTTTAGTTTATCGTCGATCATTATTCCTAGGTATTTGAATGTATTAACTCTCTTTAGTGCCTCGTTGTTTTTATTTAGAGTTAACAACTGANCTTTTTTTTTGTTTTAGTTTATCGTCGATCATTATTCCTAGGTATTTTAATGTATTAACTCTCTTTAGTGCCTCGTTGTTTTTATTTAGAGTTAACAACTGACTGTCCTCAAAATTTCGCCTTGATATAACCACAAACTTAATTTTACTGACATTCAATTAAGTATGTTCAAGCATAACCAATAGCACTTTTTTTGGAAATTCTGTGTGGAAGGTTTTTCGCTAAAAAAAATTATAACTTTTTGTTGCTGCTGCCAAAAAGTTAAAAAATCTGAGATGCCACAGTTTACAATTTCATACAGTTCTCTGTACAATGTATTTCACTAAACAACTAAACGGCTACACCGATTTGGTTCATATTTGGGACATATGCTTGCACCTTGAAAATAAATGTTCCGACCAAAAATTTACTCGGTATGTTGCTCGGGATATTCCTAAAATTCTTGTACAGACTAAAACGTAAAAAGACTGAAAATGAAACTAAGCACTGATGCATAAATCGCAAATGCATTGGAAAAGGGGCGTGGCACCTTCCGAACAAATTGAACTTCTCATATAGCTTATCTCTGGC